ATTTGGTGCAAAGTAGTTGGAATTGAAAATCAAGACGAGAAAAAGAAAGTTGCTTGCTTGAAGCAAATAGTAGTACCCATGCACATGTAGGTCACCAAACTGTTAATGAACATTATAAAACTTTTTTTAAAATCTTATATCATAGTTAATAACATGTAAATCACTAAATAAAAAATTTTAAAATAAAACTAGAAATAGTTATGAACTTTGTCAAATCACTTGTAGATAACAGAATTTTTTTATAATTTATCGCTAATCCATCTGCTAAATAGGATTAGTGACAAAATATGTTACTATTTAGCTACAGAATTTGTTTGTCACCAAATATTTTTTTGTGCATAGCAACATCAGCTTAGAAATTACTAAAAATTGGAACTTAAGAAATTTGAACTTGTGTTGTAATTAAGAAATTGAGTTTATAAAGTGATTAATCAAATTAGAGAAATGTGTCACTGTTCATTTTCATGCATCTTATTCTGAAGCAAATCAATGTGACAGCCAAAAGCAATTATATTGCATGCATGGATTTTTTACAAAATTATGCTTAATTATTTATCTCAACATTTTAATATTCTTGATTTTTATTTCAAACTATTTTTGAAAATAATTTTCATAAGTCAATAATTTATCGAAACCAATCTATCTACTCATCAAATGTAGGAATAAGGTCTTCATGCATATGTGTCATTATCTTCAAACCTCAGCGACTATATATGTTATTGTTATATTATAAAGTATGACTTGACATGACATTTTAACAATTATTTTTCTATTTTTTGTAGGAAAACCATAGAATGTACTACATAATGCACTAATGAAGTTTGGAAATTGGTAGAATTTTTATTTTATGCAACTTTATTTGTTTGTATTTTTCCCCACACACCACACAATTTTCAATATTCTTCTTTGTATTTTGTTTTGCATTTATCTCCTCAATTTTCATGATTGTACCTTTTGGGGGTTTGTAGGGTACCTTTGTCCAATATATAATTGGCTTTTTTTTTCAAATAAATCAATATTTTACATTTTCATTGAAATATAGTATTTTGTTTGATATTATAATTCTTTATTAGTCTGTTTAAAAAAAACACTATATTTTTTATATTATTTAAATATAATTAATAATTTTTATAACCACACACAAATGATATAACAAAACATGTTTTAAAAACTTCATAACCAAAAATATTATAGGCAGGCTTATAAGCATATTTAATTATAATAGCAACATTTACATGTTTGAAACTTTTGGTAATATGTCTATTTATTGTCCACACTATATTTCAACATCCCAAATAAGAATATTTCCAGGCTGGAATCACATGCAATATTGTTGGTTTCTTGTTGATTTCCTTTTAACTTATGATTGAATATAGCAGCGTACGCAGAATTTTACGTAAGCAATAGTAGTTATTATCGTAACTCAATTTCGTATAGCATGAGGTAGGAGTGAGCATGATATGGTATTTGAAAGTTTTAATATCGTAATTTCAGTATTCGATTTTAAAACATTATATCATTATCATATCAATTTAATTCGATATGGTTCGATATTTTGAAGTTCGATTTTACGGTATGGTAAATTGGTAATCATAATTTGTTCAACTTCGACTAATATATACTCGTATAATATAGTATTATGACTTCAACAATTGAAAAAAGTATCAATTGTATCATACTAACACACTATGTAGAAATATATATTCAAAATAAAGTACAAACAACTCCTATTGTTAATCAATTACATTTCAATCAAAATTAGAGTAGTCAAGTTTCAACTTCTAAACATTTAGTTTATACTAAATACTAATACTAGGTTGCATATTTGTTAGTATTTAATAATATATATATATATATATATAAGTTATTTATGTAATTATATACTTCAATATGGTATTCGGTATTTATGTATGTTATTTTTAAATATCAAATACCGTATCGAATATCAAAACAAAAAATATATACCATACCAAATACCATAATACTAAAACTATGATATTAAAATTTTTAATATGATATGATAATTCGGTAGATACCATACGATGTCCGCTCCTTTTTTCTTTTTTTTACTTTTTCAATTTCTAACTCAATAGAAGTCGAGAAAACAAAGAAAATAATAGAATAGAAGAATTTCAAAGTATTTGGCGATCATATTATATGATTCATATATGTGTCTAAATATGAAATGGTGACTCATTATTAAAGTAGAAAATACCATTATGATAAGACTTACTGCACGTACAAAGAAAGAAAAAAGATCTATGCAAATTAGTTTGATTATATTTCAATTATTTTTGCACATTTTACTATATGTGATTGGTAGGAGTCTTTTATAGCATTGATATATACTTAATATACCAGGGAAAAAAATGCAAAGAGCATCTAGTGGTAAAGAAGCAAATTAAATCTTTATAATATTAGATTGAGTTTGATCGAGCTTAAATGATGCGACACAAACAGTGAAGACTTAGCTAAACATAACACATACTTATTATAAAACCCAACAAAGTACATAAAAAATCTTGAATCCACTATTTGGTTGAAACCATAATCACATTTTTTCAAGAAAAAAATAAAGAAATTAGATCTAGTTAGGTGTTAAACTACCCTTCCAAGAAGTTCATCTATTCTCAACCACTCAAATCTAAATAATAACTTAGAATAATCCACATTAGTCCATAATATAACTCATCATTGATCAGAAGTCTCGGGTTCGAGCTTTCTGGTATGGAATCACCTTTATTAGGGAGCGTTTTACTCCTAATGTGGAACTTCTCGGCATGAATCTGAATATAGTTAGACCCAATACGGATATCGAACGCCGAATGGAAACCAAAAAGAAAAAACATAACTCAATGGTCATAACCTATTTCAACTAAATAAGCTTAAATCTTTATGTAGTTATTAGTTAGGTAATCTAATCATAAGTTCACCTATAATATATAGTTGTATATATATGTGTGTGTGTGTGAATATGTATATATGTCCATTTAATCATCTTTCTTCTCATAATAATACAATTATGGCAAAGCCTCTTCTAATTTTTGTAGTTTTGATTCTAATTAGTCTAATTATATGTTCAAGTTCAGCTACTAACTACATTGTGGGTGATAGTTCTGGCTGGGATATTAGTACTGATCTTGATGCATGGTTAGTTGGAAAGAAATTCATGATTGGAGATGTACTCGGTAAGTATCATCGATCATATTTAATATCAGTTTAAGTTATACACACTAACAGTTTTAAAAAAAATATCAACGCAACTTACAGGTCGTAATAGGATTACATAGATTTACTTCTCGTAGGTCAACTTAACCAGATAGCGTAAATGTTCTTGGAAAAATTAGGATAAAAAAATATCCTTCAACTCAACGAAATATCTTAACTTTTAGGATCTTCATAGCATTTCCGATAGTAAATCATATTGTGTGTTTGCCCTTGACTATAACGGAGCTCCAACATGAAATATAACGGAGGTAATTTTAGATCATAATAAAAAATAAAGAGCAAATTTGGACCTTTTTTTTCAAAGTATTTTGCCACGTGGAATCCATCCAACCCACATTGGAGCTTCGTTAAAGTCGAGTACAATTTTCTAACGACAAGAGTATGAATAACCCTAAAAATAGTAATATCTTAGTTACATTGATTATACTTCTTTTTTTTCGCAGTGTTCCAATATTCATCGGTACATAGTGTGTCCGAAGTAACGAAGGAGAATTTCGCGGGGTGCAACACGAGCAACGTACTCGATTCGAGTAAAAATGGCAACACAAATTTCACATTGACAGAGCCAGGGGATAGATACTTTGTTTGTGGTAATAGGTTACATTGTCTTGGAGGAATGAAACTTCGCGTAAATGTAGAAAATGTAAATGGTGCAGCAGCAGGATCCCCTGCTGCTGCACCATCACCAGAGGGAGGGGCTTCATTTTCCCCTTCTTCAAAGAGCAAAAATCCATCATTTGTTCCTAATTTTGCTTTGTCTAATATTCATGTTGGATTGGATTCTATGGTACTTGTAATTCTTGGTTTTTTGTTCTTTGCATTTTCACTAGTGTAAACTTGAGGATTTCTCATTTTTCATTATCAAAATAGATTGCTTCTTGTTATCACTATGGTTGTTTATGTCTCGAGTTGAATCAAATTACTATAATTTGTCCCTTCAATATTTTCCATAAATTTTATGAACGGAAGCTCAAAAACCCCTATGTTGTTCCTAGTTTTGCATTTTCTAATTATGTTGGATTGGATTCTCTAGTCCTTGTAATTTATTTGGTTTTTACTCATGCTTATATATTCATGTCAAAACAGAATCTTTATTTGTACATCCGTTCTTCTAGCAAGTCTGATTATTATTGTTGTTTATGTCTCGAATTGGAACAAATTACTATAACCCGTCCCCACAGGATCAGTTGACATTTTCCACAAATTTTACGAACGAAAGCTCTTATTTTCACATGTCTCATTCCTCACCTAAACTACGATGCAGAAAATATTGTTGACTAGTTCTGTATAAAAGAGACAAAATTGCTATCAAAAGAACCAAGAAAAGTAAAGAAACAGAAAAGTAAAAGTTTAGTCCCACATTCATACACATCTTAAAAGGCATTTTCAAGGTAAAGCAAGTGACTTGGTGATCAAATCTAATTAATGAATGAAAAAGGGTGCAACTATATTGATTACACCTAAATACATATCTACTTAACCTACCAATTAAGAATCTAGATTAGTCAAGAATCTAGATTAGTCGGGCAAGTTGACATTAACAATCAGACTAATATAGATTCACACCAAATAGGGCCCATTAAGAAGTATCCATTCACATAGCTCAAAATTCGAGACCTCTAGCTAAAAGGGGGGAAAGAAATCAAATCATCTCACCGCACCTCTTGATGGTTGGTTCCTTCCATATCACTCAGTCACATTGATTATTTCGCCTTTTCTAGTAAAGCAAATATGAAGGAAGAACAACATAAACAGAAATGTTCAATAGAAAAAAGGATGAAAAACAGAAAGTGGTATTATTAAGCTTGTCGAATCCTAACATGTCGGATCAACAAAATCGGCGAATTTCGAATCACCTATCTTACAACTGCAGGCTAGGTAAGCAAATATACATCAATTCTGGATCCAAACTACAGTACAGGTAGCTGTTGCTTATGATTATGGTCCCTCTATCTCTATGTATATTGCTGTCTCTAAAAGAATCAAGAATTCCCCAATCAGAGATTAAACCACAGGATTGAGCCATTACACATACATCCCCCACACCAGTAGAAACAGCTTCTTGCAGTACACGTTTTACAATTATCCGACTTTTGTATTGTTGTAATCAAACGAACCTTGTCGAGTTCCTGTATGAATACCCAGGACTGGATTTACTTTCCCCTTGTATCTGGAGCAGAAGCATTGTCCTAGCATTGGATCCCCCACTATAGTCAACAAGTGAATGAAGTTCCTATACCAGATTTCGTGTCAAAAAATCATTAACAGCGAGACTGGCATCTCCATGTGACACAGCATCTTCAGGTTCTGGCATATAGAGAGTTGACACAGATGCCTGCGCATTTAGGAACAAATGAACTGTCAGCGTATAGCATTTCACGGAAGAAAACAAAAAAAAAAAAAGAAAAAAACCAAAAGGAGTGAACAAAGTTTGGACCAAGTTAAGGTGCTAATATAAAATCCCCTGATCATAACAGATCTACATAAACAGTTGCTAAAAGCATCCATCCCATAAAGAAAGAAATATAATTCTAAATAATCATTTAGAAGAGTGGTTCTTGAACAGCAGATTAAGAGGAGCAGAAGAATAAGAAGATAGAAACCCATTTATACCAGATTGGGAACAACACAAGAAAAATCAAGAAAATGTTGTCTGAAGAATGAAGCACAACCCCTAGGGATAAATACTGCAGAAGAATTCTTTTTCATATTGAAAGTCTCCAACAGAAAGGAGAAAGGAACCTGAACTTTGTGAACCAGTTACGAGTGATCCTCGGGTGTTTTAGATTCTTTTTTTATTTCATAACTGAGAAATCCTCAGTGTGTAAGCTGGCCGAAACCCAGTTAGCCCACGGGTTCAAAACTCAGCACAGTATGAGCCCATCCCTCTACGTTATACATATATACCAGGTACTAAGGGTGTTCATGGAAAACAGAAAAACAAAAGAAGAAATAGACATTTTTTGGTTCGGTTTGGTTTTGGTTTTGGTTTTAAATTTTAAAAACTGACAATTTGGTTTGGTTTTGGTTTTAAGGAATAGATAACCGAATCAAATTGACTACATAAATACCTTAGTTAAAAATTATGAAGAGTGTATTTTTATTCACAATTTTTAAAATTTTACGGTACAAATGAACTCAATCCCAAAAGCTAAGCCCATGAAGAAAGAATTGTCCAAGATCATATAAGGAGACCAAGGACCCTTATCCCACCTATGTGAGACTCCAACACTCCCACCCATCACCCCACAGGCCCAGAGCTGGACATTTGGAGCGTGGACAATATAAGACAAAACATTGAAACAAGGAATTGGGATGGAACAGGATCTAATACCATAATAAAGAAATGGACCTTGGGCATAACTCAACCACAAAAGTACGTACATGAGGTGAGGACTGTCCAAACCATATAGAGAGACCACCGATCCCCTTTACCCTCGATGTGGGACTCTTCACACACGCACCCTTCACAAACAAGAGACATATGGAGAGTGGGCAATTTTAATATGGGGTCCAGCATCGGAAAATTTGAATTGAAATGGGTCCTGCTCTAGTATTATGTTAAATGGACCTTGGGCTTAACTCAACCCCAAAAGCTAGCTCCGGGAGAATCGCCAAGACCATAAGAAGAAACCAAGGACCCCTTATCCCACCGATGTGGAACTCCAACATATTTATTGCACTCTTGGTTCATAATCTAGGTATTTGCTTTATACTAATTAAATTATTTACCTTTACTTTCTAGTTCCCATTGTAGTCTTTATTTTGATAATTACAAGATTCTATTTCATGTTCAAAATAACTTCTTTGTGAGTCCTTTAATTATTCATCATTGTTTAATTCAATTATCATCGAGATATCTTGGTAAATCACAACGTAAGAAGTTTTATCAAGTTCCTTTAAATGGCTAAATTCCTGGACAATGCATACAATTTTCTCGAAGAAGCTACATATATAACTTGTATATATATAGTTCTTTCTTCCCTTAAAAGAGTAATTGATTTGGTAATGAAATGTTGAAAATAGTTTGATCTAATATGTGCTTGGAGGTATATTGTCATGCATTTAAAAAACAGCAAAAATTGAACCAACCAACAAAAACTGAAGCAATGAAAAAACCAACTTAATTGGTTTGGTTTGATTCCAACATCTGAAAAACCGACTTAGCTGGTTTGGTTTCCTTTTAGAGGCAAACCAACCCAAAACCGAACCATGAACACCACTACCAGGCATTGACATGGTTCGATCTCGTGAAATGTGCCGGATTGATTGCATAACACGAGCATACATCATTGACAAGACCAGAAGGCTTTACAAAGTTTGATCTAGAGTTGAGGGGTTTGACCAATATTAACCATGGTAGACCAGTGTTAACTAGGAGCTGACCAAGTTTTGACCACTATTAGAGTTTCTAGGATGAATCGAGAATGGCTCCACACGTCCCACTAGCCCAAGACTCATTTTGTTATGTTAGCACTTCTATTTTCTTAAGTACTTGGACTTGGGCCCAAGCCCATTGTTTAGCTAGTAGTATTGAGTTTGAGTAATGTGCATTTTTTACCTAGTTTTGAATGATATGTTTGTGAGGCTCTATATAGAGACCTTTTGGGTTCTTGAAGAACTCCTTGGGTTGCTATTGAAGGTGTATCTTCCTCCAGTAAATTTCATATCTTTGGATCAATTGTTAGAGGATGTAAGTATTTTCATATACTAATTGTGGCTGAATTCTATCAATTTGGTTCCTAGATCCTATCTTTCTATCTCTTGTCTTAGTCTATTCTTATTTGTGAATTTTCCTTGTTTGCTATTTCTTTCCATTGTCACCTATCGACACATCCATACCATGCTACTTGTAGAGCGGTTGGCATTAAATACTTCTGTATAAATCAGGAGGCAACGCACCTTTGCATCAAACTGCATCTCTCCAGAATTATCGGAAGTGAGGCATGCACCATGGGCTTTCAACCATTCCACACAATCCTCAGCACCATCTGTGTCCTCGATTTCTTCAGTTGTTGATACAACACTTGTGAAGCCTAGAACCTGGGCAATGTAGGTGACTGGAACAGTAGGCCGATTTGAACGAGACATACATCTAACAGCCGCATATCGCATTTTATCGGCATATAGATCTGCAAAGACAAGTACACATCATCAAATTTAGCAAAAAAAATGCAATAGCTAAATTATCAACCATTCAGAACAAAACACACCCATAAGACACGTGTTAAGATTAGGAGCTGTCTTGTATAATCTGAAGTAGGCAACATAGTTTCCAGTGGACACAGCTGCTCGAACTGATAGAGCATGTTTAACAGCATCGTTCTGTCTAGCCTCTGCTGGTAATCTGGAAAAGGAAAATGCACAACAAAATAGTTTAACATCGCAAGTTTGATAAGAGGAGGTTTTCCAGTATGTATTGACCATATTTTGAGCAGATTTTCTCAAGCTACCAGCACCAAGGTGTATGGAAATTGAAGCCAGATATACTATGAGTTTGACAAAAATAATGGATTAAACCACAGAAAGACTACAATTCACTTTCCCTCTGTGGCACTAGTGTTACCTTTTGCAATATAAAATAAACTCCTTTGAGCTATAGACTAAATTGTGACATTTGAGATTTCTATTCAACTTAAACATAACTACATAAGTTGATGCCCTTTTTTCTTTATTCTAGGTTCACTTGAAAGGTAACTTTCCATCTTCTCTTCACACTCTCTGTCTTCTGCTTTCTTCCCCCTCACTCCCTTCCTCACTATCACACCCCCAAAACCCATCCCTTCCCACCTCAAGTCTCTATCTTCTTTTTTCTTTTGGTTTTCTCCTTGCATAACAAATTAAGATGATCAGGGGAATGGACACACTCCTAAATTAAGCACCAGCTTAACTGTTCTGATTTAGCCTAAACTTTGACAAGCTTATGTTTATATTAAGGTCAAAAATGAAAAGGTAATAAAGTTTTGCATAGAGGTCAGGAATTAAAATGCACAAGTCTAACTGGCCAGTGAATAGTCATGCAGACTCATAAGTCATAACTAGCAAAAGATATGAGTTGGTGATCCACACTGATTGAACCTGTTGCATAGCTAAGTCATAACTAGAAGGAATAAACCATAGAGGATTTGTCAACATCTGTCTGCTGCAATTTAACCTCACAATCATCATTAAGGTTGCAGGAAGCAAGGATGTCACGAATGAAATTATGTTACATGCAAATCTTACCAGATCGCCTCTTCTTTTTTTTTTCTTCCCTATTGCCGTTGCAGATGCCTAAAAAGGACTAACCAGAGGAACAGCAAAAGTACTTTGGGTGCTCGCAAACCAAAGGACAGAATAGAATGGAAGCAGAGAAATAAGCAACACGACAAGACTTACAAAAGTTTCACAAAAAAGAACGCAAGAAAACCAGTATAGTAAGTAGCTGACTGACCTAGACAACGCTAATAGCAGATCTCTGTTGTTACTAGAGTGCAAAAGAACACAGAGTAGATTATATGCAGCAAATTCCATATCACATCCCTTGATTCCTTCTGCATAAAGCGTTTTTAGCTGCGACTGACACTGCATGTACCAGAACTAGGAGAGTAAGTCTAAGAGTAACACTGAAGCAGATAAACCAATGATGTCTTCGCAGCAAATTACACATTTGTTCATGACATGTCCAAAAACTTTGGTCTAACGCAATTCAATATTGCAACTGTGCCAGCATGCATACTCATTTAAAACAAGAAAAAAATTGAAAAGTTTTAAAAACATATCAAGGTAATAGTTCAGAAAAAAACTTTCCAACACAACCAAACGATTTTAGGGAGGAGGTGGGGAACATCTACATTTCTTTAATCAAAATACATAAGCAGCTATACATATAAATTTACTGCTCAGAACACAATGCTGCTTTGCGTGTTGACAAAGACCAAAGTAGGACGCTAGCAGAAAGAATCTGCATCTAGAAAAGAAAAAGGATATAGGTGAAGCCGGAAAAATGTGGGCAGTGATCCAATCAAGTAATGCCAAAGTACCAATAAAGCATCAGGAAGGAGTGACCCAACATTAGTAGTAAACACCAACAGAGACAAAATGCCATTTATGTATCCACATAATTCAAAATAAGGACTTATTTGTGGCATAAAGTGGACCATTCTTATACCAGAAGTGAACCCTGAAAGGGCTATAAGAACTATAATGGCAATACTAACAAATAATCATATTGCATTTTACCAGCTAAACTTCCCTTGCAAATGCGGGTGTATAAAAGGATTTGGACCATGGAAAAAGGTAGCATAAATTGTCCATAGAGAGCCAAAAACATTTCACCCTGATATACTTAAACTTCTGGATTGGAAGCCCCAGTAAGGGATTTCACTCTTAACTAAATTCTATAAATTAGTACATAAACTTGACTGTAAAAAGGATCCAGCATTCACTAACATTAAAACAAAGAAGTGTCCAACTGAAATATAAACTGCATGGAAGTACTTTCAAACACACTAGCATACAAGAAACTTCAGAGAGGGATTAAGATTCCAAGAAGTTATGACAAATTCTGTGAGTTCCCACCATGGAAGGAGATACCTGATTATATTCCGACAAGTCCCCAACTTCTATTGCCAACCGACCATGTGTTTCATACACCTAAAACAGAAGGCGGGTGAAGAAGATATTAATACGAAAAAATAATGCAAGATCTATTGTAAAGAAAGTTCATATCAATCATTTTCAGAAAATAAATTCAGTTCCTAGAATTGCCAGTGTATATGATGATGAAAATCTTATGTCTTGCTCCATTTGAATAGTGAAATTAGCATAAGGAAATATACCTTGACTGTTAACTCGTTGCGTATGCGTTGGACCGTAAGATCTTGCCGTATTGATTTTAACTGATCACATTTGTAAAGGTAGTTTTTTGGAGAAGTTTGAACCATGTTTAATGCTTTTTCTAAGACTTCTTCTGGTCTCACCTGCAAAAGCAGAATTACTTTTGAGAAATCATCAAAACTTGCAAAGTGAAAATTGTCAATAGATATAATGCATTCCCCTTGAATCTTAAGTAACAACATAAAGAATCAACAGACTACCGTTGCAGGGTCAGGTGCAGAAGTAAGACGTAAGTAGCGTTTCTCAATTTCCTGGCAGGTTCCTTTGACAGTAAGAGCATCCCAATCAATATCTTCAACAGCACAGTTACCATTTTCCTCGATGTTTTTGCTAAGCACCAAGGCAGTAGCCCTCCTTGCATACACATTTCCAGCTCCTCCATTTCTGGATCGATTATCATTAGCAGCTATGCGACTTCCATGCCCTCTCTCAAAACGCTTTGATCGATTTTCACGTCTCCTTCTTTCCTCTGGTGTATCTGCCGCTGCTCCTGCAGCAGATTTATAGGCTGATTGACTTCGTTCCTTATCACTATCACTGGATGCTTCACCATTATCTGTCGCATCCATTCCATCACCAACACACTGCCTCTTAGCTGGCCTAAAGACATCAGTTTTGGGGGTTTTCCGCTGTGGTAAAGAAAATTTCACATGACTCGAATTATTCACCTTGTTATCTGACTTTCCACCTGAAAACTGTATGCAATCACTCAGATGAGAGACATTTTATTTGGTCATATGGATCTAGTGCCAAACTGACGGAAGCAAAAGATTAGAATACCCCAGGCTTTAAGGTTTAAGTAGCACTAAGCCAAAAAGACCAGTATCAGATGTGCCAATCTCATGTAAGAAAAATCATAGCTGGATCAGGACAGAGTTCCACTTGTGTACCTAAAACAACAATTTAACACCCCTTGACACAGTAATAGATCCAATGTGATCTTGCCTAAGAAGCTGCTTTGGTTCATGCGATGCAAAGAAAAACATAGTATGCTACCTAACCCAAAAAGTAGTCGCTGGTTGATTCCACTTGTATCATACTATTATGCTCTAAGAAACCTAGACTAATAGCCTGTTTGACCAAGCTTATGGAAGGCCAAAAATGTGTATTTTTTCTAGAAAGTGCTTATTTAAAAAAGAGTGAAGTGTTTGACTAAGCTTTTGGGAGAAAACAAGTGCTTTTGTGAGTAGCAGAAGCTGTTTTTCACACGCTAAAAAAACTAATTTCCCCAAAATAGCTTCAAGAAAAAAACACTTAGAAGCACTTCTAAAAATCTTGGCCAAACACTACTTATTACTCAAAAGTGCTTTTTAAATTTGATGGCCAAACACAAACTGCTTCTCCCTAAAATTACTTTTTTTTTTTTTTTTTATAAAAGTAACAGTTAGTCTATATTTATCCACAGGTATACTACCTCAAAAGTGTAGTTCCCCTCCAAAAGTGTTGTAGTTACATAGGCTCCTATACCTACCAAGTTACAGCCAGTCTATAGTTGTGCTGATTACTTCTGAGCTATCTAAGACTACTTGTTTACACCAAAAATAATACAGAGCTAAACAGTTAAGCTTAAATCTTTGTATGTTGCTCTGCTTTCCTTCATGACATCTCTGGTTCCTCTCTAGCCATACTGTCCACCATAGTCATGATGGGACCATCGTCCACCCTAAAATTACTTTTTTGAAAAGCACTTTTCAAAATAAGTTGATTCCAATCTCTGGCACAATAAGTATGATAAAGAACTGATAGAATTGAACATATTTTTTGGTTGATACTACGCACATTTAGATTTATCGATCACCAAAAAATAAGGGGACAAAATAATCGGGATAAGTAAACCAGGGAAGGAGCCAGAATAGAAAGTAAAGTCATGAAGCTGGAGAATCCTGGTGCGGATAAATAAGCCACTCGGCAACCTAGACCACCTCTTTAGCTTCTTCATTTCAAGCAAGAGGCTGAAGTTGGTGAAAAATAGAAAGAGATAACTGTAAAACCTTTTATCTTCAAAGGCAGAAAACTATTACCTGTCTATTCCAACTACCATACTTAGAAGCATCAGGAGTGACTGATGCAGGTTGGACGGTTGGTTTTTCCTCTACTAAAGGCTCCCACCTACTTTTGTATCGCCTACTGGGACTTCTTTTACTTTTTGGAGATGAAGAAACTGGAGCTGAGAATATTACTCTTCTGCAGAGAAAGGGAAGAAGTCAAAATAGTCCTTGAATTTGATAAAAGATATCTAACTATGAGGGAAAATTCATCAGCATAAAGGGGAAAAGGCTCATGTTCATGATTATGTTCCCTAATCAGGGAAACTACACTATATACGCAGAAGTGTTTTGCTTTTAACTGTTAAACAAATACTTCAGCAAAAATAAAAATGAATGGGAAAAAGGAGGAACAAGAAGTTTGTTTCTAACTACTGAGGCAAAAATTATTACACTAGCTGTAAGATAACAACCATATGCTAGGTGAAGTACAAATGCAGAGACGAGATACAGTAATTGACATTCATGCCCTATGACAGCTACTTTGGTAAGTCACACATGCGTGCATTGTATATATTTAGATTTTTGTGTGAGCACACAGCATGTGCATGCATAAGGTTTGCATATCAGTTTTGGGAAGAGTAGATAGCATACTCCTTCTTATCTGCATCCACACTGGACATGGGGAAAAGAGGCTCGGTGTCCCAGTCTCTCGTATGAAGTGTACCGTCAGCAGTTGCCTTTGTGATAATCTGCAGATTATGGTACATTTAAGTAACAGAGGGGGCAAGACAAAGAACCACGCATCAATAAAACGACATATCATTATAGTGCAAGTAAATCAAATGTTACTCGATCAACTATGACTCATTATGTTGCAAACAGCTCAAACATTACTCAATAATATCAGCACTGACACTACTGTAGATGGGATGCAAAATAATAGTTAAATAGAAGAGCCATGAAAGGACGACCATGGCTATGAAGAGTTGTACAATGAGCAATACAAATTGTACTATGTACTTGATCAGTTGATCTTATCTTATTTCCTTACCAATTGCCTCTAGACACATGTAATATAATGGGTCCATTCTCTTTATATCATTTCAATTTAATTGTCCATTATAAATTTAAGGCATAATACATATATTGGACCCTAAACTTGGCTTCAAATTTTAACTTTGACCTCAAACTTTCATAGTGCACAAACAAGCACTTTAACTATCCAACCTTTTAATAAATAAACACGCAAGTCATACGTGGCAAAACGCGTGATATGCACGTATTCTGCGCGAGTTAGGAGTAATTTGACAACTCTACCACCCCAGATTCCGGCCAATCTCCGGCAACCCAAAACCCCATTCATTTTCTTCTTTTTCAGGTAAAATGCCACCACCAAATGACACCCCCAAACAAGTGAACAAACACATCCATTACTCCTCCCTTTTCCGGCCAGCAAACACCACTTGAAACCACCCAAAACCTCCATTCATTTTCTTCTTCTTCCCTCCATTCACGCCACCACCAGCGAGCCGGCTTCAACCTCAAACAACCAGCAGCTCCAAACTCCAAACACCTCCAACCCAGCCATTCTCCTTCTTCCTCCACACCGGAGCACAACCCATGAAGCGAACGAGCTTCGAGCTCGCTAAACCCACAAAATACCCAACCCCAAACCCATCAAATCCACCATCTCCGGCGAGAATCATCACGAAACAACACTGCTGCAACCAGCAGCTCGAACCAGACACAAAACAGCAACCAAATGACCCCCCAAACCCATGAAAATAGACCCAACAACCACAAACACCTAAACCAAGAAGCCAGCCATCAACAAACCTCTAAGCTCCGTCAAACAATGAGCTCCAAGCTCTAAAAACCATTAGGAGGAATTAATTTTGATTCTTGTATATAAATTAAAATTAATTTTGATTTTTTTGTTCTAAAATCGACGAGTAAAATATTTTATTAGTTGGCAGCCATTGAGTGGCTCACTAATACACGTTGGAGCGTTTGCATTTCACGCTCTTTGGCTGCAAAAATCGCGTGTTTATTTATTTAAAAGTTGGATAATTAAAGTGTCTATTTGTGCACTATGAAAGTTGGAGGTCAAAGTTAAAATTTGAAGCCAAATTTAGGGTCCAATATATGTATTATGCCTAAATTTAAAATGTCAAGCCATTATCAGTTTCATTCATATTTTGTGGACCCTATTTGTCATTCAAGCTTTACTAAATGTCATCAACATACTATATGTTCAATCAAATGTAATAGTAATATATTTTTATTTGGTCCAATAATTTTTCTTTCAAACTTGTATTATATGTAACTATAATTCATTTAAAAAAGAACTTTATTAAAAGACATTATCAATTAAATCTAGATAGAAAACTTACAAACATAACTTATGATTTGAAACTACATGTAATGATTTTTCACTAGAGACATAAGTGACACAAATACTTTTAAGTATGTATCATCTAACCATGATCAAAACATTTAAAACTAATATTTATCATGCTAACAAAGCTAAAACAGTATTCCAATAAATTTCATTTTCATCTTTAAGATAGACAACATAAACATAGTTTTACTCATAGTTTCTATTATTTTGTGATATACAAAAAAAAAAAAACTAAACAGAAATGTTGTCGTGTGTTAGATAAAAATGGTATTTTATTATTATTTAATAAGATGAATTAATTACTTGACTTAATATATTAATAGCTTATTAAATTTGCCAGTCAATTTTATTTCAATGCTCGAACTAAGACTTGTTCCGATTGAACACCTAAACACACGATAAAGTGTTAATATTAGACATCTTTGGTAAGATTTTGAGGGGGGAAAAAAACTGTGCGCGTGTTCACAAACGCCTATTAGCTATAGTTATGTTAACTACATAAAATATGTCATCTCATTTAATTATATACATCTACCCCATTTGGAACATCCTTGAGGTTTATGACTTGTTGATATGAGGCTAACACATAACTAAAGAATGTGACATTTCATATCCAACACATGTTTATTATTTAATTCAATTTTTGTGTATGACATAATGTTTAAAAAACATATTAGATTTTTATTTTTAATTTTTGATAACCGAGAAATCCGTCTGTGACCCGCCCTTTGGACCAATCACAGCCTTCTAATCTCAGTGGATAGTGTGCCCGCCCCTCTACCCTTCTCCACTTAAATACCGGGCTTCGCTTTGCATGGTGTGGGGCTTGAACCTGCGACCTAAGCCACAAATCCTCCACCATTTGCCACTCGAGCTAGGCCTTTGGGGGCAAAAATATTAGATTACATACTCTTCTAATGTTAGTTGTGGCAACTTAAATAAATTACGCATAATTTTTTTTAATGCCCATTATCACTCTCTATTGTGTTTACCTGAAAATATTAAAAATTAATTTATTGTTTAAAAATATAATTGACCACGTACAAATACAATTAAAGACTGTAATGTTGGGCCCGTTAACGGGCCTAATTATATCTAGTACTTCTCCGTTTCAAAAAGAGTGGCCTAGTTTGACTTGGCACGAAGTTTAAGAAAATAAAGAAGACTTTTGAAGATTGTGGTCCTAAATTAAAGTTATGTCAAATGTACAAAATTGCCCTTTAATCTTGTGGTGTTAAACATGCCACGTGTGGAAAGGTGAAAGTAAAATGTTACCAAAAAAGGAAAGAGGTCATTCTTTTTTAAACAAACTAAAAAGGAAAGGAGATCATTCTTTTTTAAACAAAGGGAGTAATAGTTAAGGCAGAAAGATCATTGTAGGTCACAAACTTCATAAACAATACAATCCCAACACTCAAGTTAGCAGTTTGCTTCATCACTGCAATCTGTTCAATGTAATAGGCTGCTGCATGAGTAGCTAATACAAAAAATATTGAGGAAGGGGGAGGGTTCTGACAGTAGAGACATCCCTACAAGTGCAAAAAGAAATTTCAAATCTTAAAGCACTTGCACATTGAATACAATTGAGAATACAGTCTTGCAACCAAAGAAGTTACTTATCAGGTATACTCAGGGTTATATTATTTGGACATAATATATATATATATATATATATATTCAACTCTTTACTTGAACTCGACCTCCATAGATGAGTGAAAAAGGGAAGGCTGTGTTTTTGTTTTGTATATAGCAATACCTACGTGGTGATGTATTTATGGAATAAAAGTACCAGCCCAAAAGAAAAGGTAGAGAAAAGACGGAAGTCTTTTCGTAAATCAGGTTAGGAAAACAACAACAACAAACCCAATGCAATCCCACAAGGAGGGTCTAGGGTGAATTAAGATTTTATTGGCTGCATTATGCATTTCAATTCTAGGTGTTCATCAATGAATTCCTCGTGTGTTTTCTCTAGCTCTATAGAGGTAAAAGGAGGTGCCCTGTGTCCTATTCTACCCTTCAAATTTGCCATCACGATTACTGATGCCACAGAAATACAAAACCAAAGATGCTGGAATGATGTGATTGACAAGTTCAAACTCAAGTTGAAAACACAAGACATGCCCTCATCAGGACCTAAAACTAACTTTTTGTCACTTTACCTTATCCAGAGCTGTGAAGCAGAACTGAACACGCCATTAAGTAATGAATGTCAACTAGAAACAAATAAACATGATGTGGACGGTGAAAGGAAGCAGATTGCTATCAGATATAGACCTACTCTAATGTTCTTATCAGAAGCATCTTCTAGATGCCCACCACTGAGAAAATGCATTACGGACAAAAACAACCAGCATAATTAGGTTCTTGGTACCCATTAAAGGTAAAAACAAAAGCTCTAAGAGGTGGGACAAGTAACAAAGGGTGAAATGTTCATATAGGAAGCAGTTGAAAACATTAAAAAGGTCTCGGAAAACATTAAGATATCTACTATAGTTCCCTCAAAGGCTCAGAACAAAAAAATCACCAGGAGGACTTCAATCTAACAGGATCATACTCCAGTACATAATATATAAGGAACCTTGGTCTTCATTCAAATCCCAAATGTATACTTGTGAGCTGAATCAATCAATCTGTCGAACCTCTAAAATATTATGTTTTATCCATCTTCAAATCCCTTCTGTTGGGAAACGTTATGTCTATGTAGTGCTAAAAACCCATATGTTATGTACTATAAAAATGAGTATTCAAGTAAGTTATCAGTTTCAAAAAAAAAAATGTGTATTCAAGTCTCTAATTTTAATTCTTTCTAAATTTTCTGGCAACATCATCATCGATGCCACTTCACTTTTTGAGCCAAATTAGTGCTCTTCACTCTATGCTCTAGCAATTCATAAATTGGAAGTTACTCAATTGCTGCTTGCTAAACTGGCTATAAAGCATTATTATCTCCGTACAATCTGAAAATTCTTCATTAAGTCTCGATAATATCTATGCAGTATGCATTACATGGCAAGAACTGGAAAACGACCAAGAGAGAAAATCTCAAAAATACACTAAGATACCTCCTTCATGACAGCTTGGGATGCCACCATTTGAGTATCATCCTTGCAACGAGCCAAAGCCCTTTCAACATAACCACAAAGTGATTTAGGAAAAGTATCAGGCTGCAGACAACAGAAAGATCACTTTAGTTAAGCAAGGAAAATAAATAATCTGACACTTATTTGATGCAATGCAACAAAAAATACCATGTTACACATGTCACCATTATCCCAACTATATAGTCAACATTATCCTAACTATGTAGTTACCACTAGAATAAAATACCAAGGTTTCTCAGATTGTGTGGGGACAACGGTACAAAACACAACCAAGGAGCAGTTAAAAATTTCATCAATAAAACCTAACAGTTGAACTGACAATCATAACAACATAGAAGATTGCATCATCAAAGTATCATATAAAAAAAGCTGCTCCTTAGAAGTTCAGCAAAATCAGAAGTCTTACCAATATCGAAATTTCCTGTAGAAGTGATTAAACCAAGTTAATACAAACCTACCAGTTTAGCCATAATAACTATATCATTATTTCAACATCAACTTGAAAAAGAGAATCCAAAATTGAAAAACCCGTTAAGAGTATTTCAAGTGAAATAATTGCACTCATAAGTTCTGGCTTAGATAGTTTGTATAGTTAGCTAGAGATTTTTTTTGTAAGCTCAAATGACATATCTTGTAAATCTTGCATCTTCTTGATTATGTTATTAATACCACTTATCTTATCAAAAACAAAAGTCCTCTGCATAACTATTCCGCCAATATCACCCATAATATAAACCTTCCTTACTAAAAGCACACAGATCAAAGAAAATATGGACCTCCAGGCATTAAATTTAGTTAATCTTGCTAGTATTGATAAAACGATACCACACACCAAATACACTTGACAAGTCACTTCCCAAATGCACTTATACATATTAGACTATTGGAGGTTCATTGGTTATTTATAGGACTATATTATCATTCTTGTCAAACGCATAGGATAATTTGCTATTAATAGGATTTAATTAGCTTAATATCATTATTTTTGAAGAAAAAGTTCGGCAAGTTATATGAGAAGACAGATCCTAAAAAGTGCCACTTAACCAAGGGTGTAAAGAGGTCTAATCAATGCATATATGGAAGTTTGGAGAATGGCTGGCCCCTCCAATTGGTAATTTGGTTTTAGATGAAGTGAGTTGTTTTGTTAATGGCATCAAGTAGATGCAAATATAGTACAAAAGATAGCAAGTACACAAAAGAGTTTGTTAGCTCCATTACAATATGTACTCCCCTCAAATTGGTTAATGCATTGGGTTTTCAAATTTTCTCCGACAAATTATCCGTAATGATTCCTCATCAAAAAGTATCACTTGACCAGTTCTAAGAGAATCTTACAACAACATACCCAGTGCAATCCCACAAGTGGTGGCTGGTCTAAGAGAAGCTTACAACAAACATAAAGGAACACTAGCACAGAAAACTTCTAATTGACTATCAAGATGAAAGACTATCAAGAAGCAAGTGAAAACTTTATCATCTTAGTCAAGCATCTAAACTCTCCCCATCAATTATGCAAACTTATGTTACAAAACTCAATTTGTGACTGCATGTCTTGCTGAAATGATCAAAGTAAAAAAGGTGTCTGACCTTGAGAGCATTATCTGCAGCATTAGATGATACTTTTTCATTAGTTTTTGGTAAGGAAACGCTGACATATGCAGGCCTGGCCGCTGCATTAGTTGTAGAGCTTTGCATATCCAGCTTTGGTAATCCCATGGTCATGGTTGAAGTTATTCTAGGGTTTGTGGGAATCTGTAGTTTGCTAGCACTGCCTGTGTCTGCTGGTGTAACAGTTTGCTGCACAGTGGGCAAGGATGACTGATAATTATAGGGCATCTGATAAGAGGCTTGATATTGTGTGCTTGGTCCTTGGGGACATGAAGAACTTTGTTGAAGGTTTTCATGAGAAGGAGTTATGTCTAAAGGCTTTTGACCATAAGACTGCACTGGATCAGGTTGCTGATTTTGGAAAGAGGGAGCCCAATGTTTCCAGTAACTATCATGAACATTTCCACCTACAGCAGGAGACTGACCCAAAAAAAAAATTGAAAGTTAAGGTCATCAGGCTAATCAAAACGAACTCCATAATGTACATAACATGAAGGGAAAGAGAAATGAAGTTGCTTTTCTCAATGTACTGAGTATTGAAAAGCAAAAAAAAATGAGGCACTGACTGCAATGACAGTAGATAACATGTCTTCTTCTGGTGAATAGCTGGCACTCAACAACTCGCACAAGATAGAAGTTGAATATCCAGATTATTAAACGTATAATAAACACGAAGTTATATTTAGACAGCAGAGTTAAAAGAGCATACAAGGCATTGCTTACCAGATCTTTAGCAGCTTGTTGAACAAAAGAACAACTAAAATAGCAAATTAACCTAAAATATGAGTGTAATACATGATTTATCACCATCTTTTCCATCTCTTTGATTACTCAACATGGTTTTGAATTTTAAGAGTGTTTGGATTGACTTATTCTAAGTAGTTTTAGGCTTTTAAGCTCTTTTTTATTTTTGGAGGTGTTCGGAAAAGACAAGAAGTGTTTTAATCACTTTCTTTTAGGCTGAAAAAGTACAAAAATAAGCTAAAATCCAAAAGGGTATTCCCAACTTATGGCTTTTAGCTTATAAGCTACTTAAAAAAAGTCTATCCGAACACCCCCTAAGTGAATTACATGACAATTGATATTCACATAGGAGTCTCTACGCATGCATAAAAGTCATCTATTATAAGTAAAACTCCAACAGAGTAACTTATTTGTGAATTGCATGTAAAGGAAACACCTGCACCGCAGACAATGCCGGCAAACCAGATTCTGGCTTGCCAGGTGGAGCATGAGATGCCGGAGCCTGGACACCTGAAGCTGAGTATCCTGCAGGAACAGGGCAACTCAGACTGGATACATTAGAAACGGAAATATTTTCTGTTCCAGGAGCACAGGGGACATCATTTTGTGTATGGTTGTAATAATCGGCCCATTGCTTGTACTGTTGTTGATACTGTGAAGCCACAGGAGCTGTGGTAGAACTGTATGCAGCATTCGAATCAGAATTGTAGCTTGGATACTGATGGGAAGTGTATGTTGCATATTGTCCTTCATGCCACGCGTTCGTCTGGTTATTGTAAGCACCACTTGTGTAACCTCCAGATGTCTGGTAATCACCAGGATTGTAGTAAGTGCTTGAATAACTTGCAGGCCCAGCATAAGACCCTGTATTCTGTAATGAGGAAAGGGGCTGATAAGGAGCACCTGTATTTTGATATGCTCCTGATGGCTGAGGATAGGATTGATTAGGTTGTTGTTGATAGCCATTATAGTAAGCAGCATATCCTGTATTGTTGTATCCATAAGGATCAGTACTTTGATAGGTTCCATAGCTACTGTAATCCTGCTGTACATTTGTGGCACCGGAACTTGGTGTAGTAGCACTAGTTGCAACATTCAATCCATCTTGAACATTCCTTGAAGGCGGCGCAGCTTGTTGGTCATGATCATAACCAGAATGTGAGACAACTCCATTTTCCCTGGCATAGCTATCTGCACCATGAGCACTCCATGGTGCAACTGTAGAATTTGGAGGGGCGTAATATGAAGACATGTGATGTTGGTTTGGATCGACAGCCTGATGATTCTATGTAGGGAAAAAAAAGGATTTAAAGTCATATAATGAGAAATCAACTCACCTATCCAGAACAAAGTATAGCAAGAGTGGTACATGATATAGTTGCAAAAGAATAGTAAATATAAGCAAGTTAAAAGAGTTTGGTGGCTGAGAGAGGAGAAGCATTTAACGCTTTCACCATTCAAGTAAAGAAAACATTTAATCAATCAACGTGTACAATGACAAAATATCAAACATGTAGTGAATGTCCTAACCATAAAAGGCAAGAGTACACAGTTTCGGCTCATAAGAAGCAGTTTCTCAACATAAGGATAGTCGGTAGTCAATGCATCAAATATGACCTTCACAAAATATATCTACATTGTTACCCAACAATGTCCACGATAAGCTACTTGAACATAAACATGCCACACCAATTTACCAATATTAGTATAGCCCCTCATACTTATATTGATGGATAAAACAGACAAGGCATCTTGATTTACTACTTACAAACATCACCAGCACAAGACTGTCAATTGTGTCTCTCCGGTATCAGAGTGACTTGTCATAGCTACTTCATCAAGAACTCTAACTTTTGTGTATATCATTACTAACCATTAACAAGTTGTACATACATTTCAAAAAGGCAGTGTTACTATGTGAGAAGTAAAACAACTTTTCTTTAATTATTATTTTTCAAACAATTATTTTTTTTTATTTTTTTATGAGCATGGTGTCCGGGCTAGCTTTCGAGCACCTCGACTCATTCCACAAGATATCTGCCATCTCCCACCCGCAACAAATACAGGTAACTCTGTCCACTAAGGCTAGGCCAGATGGGAAGAATCACCTAGTGTTTGCTTTGTCTCCACTGAGTTTTGAACATGAGACCACAGGGTTCTCAACCACTTTATTGACCACAAGGCCACAACCCTTGGGTGCTATTTTTTTCAAACAATTTTAAGTACTTCCTAACATAAAATCTTGTGATTTCTACTGCTTCTTACAGTTTCTAAATATACAAATGTTATCTAAAATACTCTAAATCGATGTCCAAATTCGCACGGACTATTAGATGACCAATGGCAGATCCAAGTACGGGTTCGTGGGCTCAGTAGAACCCATAGGTTTGCGATCGAACCCTATATTTGTGTGAAAACAGGTACAAATAGAGTTAGATGTACATTTTAGAACTCATCCTTCAACTCAAAACCAAGTAAAACCAACAACACTTATGTTCTGAATCTCCCACTATGCTTACCCACATAATCCTAACACAACAATTCTTTTTGGTATTGATGGAGTAAATATATAAATAATATAAGAAAGAAAAACCAGCAGCAGCACAACTGAAAAACTCACTTCTCTCACAGAAAGGGAAAAAACTGAAACCTTCCAATTCCATCGGCATCATCCCGCCATTATCTTATGTTCATTTTGACAACATCATCACAATTTACATATATTAAGTATGTTAAAAAAAATTGCAACAAGCAGAAATCTATATGGACCATAATGTCATATATTTTTTCCAGAAACGAAGTTTGGATAAGAGAAGAGGAAGTACAATTCGGGTGGTTACCTCCTGTGAACTGGGATCCAAAGTGGTCATAGTAGCACTTCCTTGATTCATCATCCTCTCATTAACATCCTGCTTAACCAAACATTTCAGTATTTAGATATCTATAACAAAACCACCACACCACACAAGAAAAAAGATAGTCATAAGTTGAATTGCAGCCTAATGGTTACAACTCCACCTTCTTACATTCATAGGTGGTTCAAATCCCACAAAAGGATCCTTTTCTACACTTCTATCCCGACTATTTATGCGCCCACCCCTTACTCCAGCAAATTTTATGCAAGAAAGAACCTAGCCAGGACTAAAACTGCAGCCTAATCATCACATCTCCACCTACCTATGTCACAAGTGCAGGAATCCAAACCTACAAAGTGGTTTCTACATTTCTATTCCAACTATTTAAGGGCTCACCCCTCACTCAAAAATACTTGAAAAAACAAAAGAGAACTAGAATTACAGCATAATATGCAACTCCACCTACCCACCATTACATGAGCGGGTTCCAATCCCACAAAAAGTGTCCTTCATAAATTTCATCTAGACTATTTGCAAGACCACCTTCAACAACAACAACTACGCCTTAGTACCAAACAAGTTGAGGTCCACTATGCTTTGGATCCTAACTATTACATGTGCAGGTTCCAATCCCACAAAAAATGTACTTTTTAAATATCATCTCAACTATTTGCAAGTCAACCTTCAACAACAACAATTACTCCTCAGTACCAAACAAGTTGAAGTCGTTATCTAACAACTAAAGAGCTCATATATCATGCTTCCAGCATATACTGATACCATAAATCAGTCAAACAGTAAATATCCTACTTCTACCCATATCATAAGTGGTCGTCATCTCACTTGCATAAAATACCCAACACCCTTAACACATCCGATAAGCATTTACCAACACAAACACTTGCCTTAAGTCTCAACTTGCCTTAGCCCAAAGTACAAAATGTCAAATTACGGATTTGTCCATTCACCATGTTTATAGGTCCAAAAAAATGGGGGGAAAAAACTAGCTAGAATTGGAACTACAGCTGCAACTTTTCCTACATCAATCATACTTTCTAATCTCACAAAAAGGGGCTTTTTCTAATAAATTAAAATAAATTGGGCAAAAAAAAAAAAACTAACCGAAATCTGAACAAATTGAACAGCTTGAGCCTTCAAGGAACGAAGAAACAATCAACCTCGAACAAAGCAACACCCTTATATGTATTACCAAAGCAAATTGAGACGAAAAAAAACAAAAAAAAATATGGAAAAAATTGGAAAAAAACAGAGAACGATTAGCAACGAAGAACGATTACAAATATCGATTTGGTAAGAAACTACAGTATAATATATGATTCGAAGAACAGAATTATTCAATGTTGAAGAAGAGATTTTTTATTTATGAAACTAACGTCGGTAGAAAAAATGAAAAATGGAGATTTGTGTGTTTATATATGCGTAACTTGATTTTCAGTAGAAACAAATTTCAACCCGATTGACTTATTCGGGTCGTAGTTTAGGAGGTCGTTTGAGTTCTTTTTTGCATTTTTAGTTGTTATAATGTATGATTGAGTCGACTATGTATCAAAAATAATTTTTTATCCGTTAACGGATAGGTAAGATCTATTTATATTATACATTCTTCGAATTTCAACTGTGTAACTATATGGATATATTGTTGTTGTTGTGTAATATATTATAGATGGTTGATTTCTCGATTTTGTAAATCTTTACTGATTGAATGAATTATTATTTTTTAACATTTTTTATTTATTAGTTTATTGTGTTGTTATTTCAATTTTTTGAGATAAATTATGTAGTTTAGAATAGAGTATATATAACATGTTTTTGATACTAAAGACACTTAGTCAACATAATTATACAACTATCGCTTAGAACAATAATTGAGTATCACAAAAACAATTGAGATGAGAAAGAGATCACCGATGAAAGCTTTTAAATAGCTAGAATAGTACCAAACATAATAAATATAAAGAGTACTAGACATGGATGAAGTGAAGGAAGGGGCACAAATAATTTGCAGAAAAAGTATTTTATCTTGTTTAATTGTTTAGGCGTCACGTGTTGATTCGTGCACTTTATATGAGAGATTGTCAATTACGTGTATAGTAAGAAGTAATCCTTAATAAATGTTAGATGTTCAATTGGTCAGATTCTTAGCTTAGATATCTAAACAAAATTGTATAATTTTCTATTGTCCGAGTTGGAGGTAGAAATACATCAAGATTTTGTGTGCTTACTTATATTGCTTTTGATTTTCATATTATGGATCTTGGTTCGCACTTTATGGAATTTCTACTAGAAAAAGAATCCAGACATTTCTCATTTACCTATTATGAAAAACGTTTGGACTTTGTCTCTTTTCCTTTCGTTCTCTTTCTTCTTTTATGAATTGTTATAAAAAATGGCAGACTGCGCAACAAAGGATTCGGGTGGGGGAAGAGTCTACCTCCTATATATCCAACAACAACTAAATAAACGGTAAACTTGTAATTTCTTAATTTCGATATAAAGTAAATGAGTACATCAAAATCGGATATTTGTGCACTTCGCCCGGGGAAAAATAAAGGAGGAGGAGGAGGTTTCACAATTGGGGAAAACTCAATGGGCTTAGAGTGAGAAGCCCACTCCATGAAACAACAAAGCAATAAGCCCATAGCTGTTGAGGCCCAAACACTAGTTATAAAAATCAGAGAGAGACTACACTGCTTACTCTTTTGAACGAATTGGATCTAGGGTTCTTACAATTTTCTGTGCCTTCTTCGATCTACAGGTAAGCGATTTGTGATTTTGAGACCTTTTTCTCATATTTTTGATAAAAATATCTTCTTTCATCATAGATATATGTGCGTGTGCATAATTCATCTAGGAATTGCTATTAATTCCGAGAAATTTGGATGAGATTGTGTTTTTTTGACTCGGAACATTCATTCAAGAGGTGTTTTTTTTCGTTTCTAGTTTTGTTTGATGTTTTATGGAGTTGGCGTTTGTGCTAAATTCATTTGAAAAAAATGTAATTGAGCTGTTTTTTATTATTAAGAAGTCATATAATTTGGGAAATGAGCTAATTGGGTAGTTTATCTCGGTATGATGAGAATTTGTACTATATCTGTGCTTTTTGACCTTGAAAATTCATTCAAGATGCCTTTTTCAGTCTTAGTTTTGTTTGATGTTTATTGAAGTGGCATCTTGTGCTAAAGTGATTGGAAAATAGTAAAGAAGCTATTTTTATGATTAAGAGATCATATAATATGGGAAAGGGGCTAATTGGGTAGTTTCTTTCAGAGAAGATGTGGTGGTATGATGATATTTTGTATTATATGTTCTTTTTGTAGTTTTGTTTGATGTTTTATTGAGCTGGCATTTTGTGCGAAATTCATTGGAAAAAAGTAAAGCAGCTATTTTTTATGATTAAGAGATCATATAATCTGGGAAAGGAGCTAATTGGGTAGTTTCTTTCAGAGAAGATTCTGCGGTATGATGAGATTTCGTATTATATGTGCTTTTTGTCATTCGAAAATTCATTCATTAGGCATTTTTTCAGTTCTAGTTTCGCTTGATATTTTATTGAGCTTGCATTTGTGCTAAATTCATTTGCAAAAAAGTAATGGAGTGATTTTTTTTTTTTTTATGATTAAGAGATAGTATAATTAGGAAAGGAGCTAATTGGGTAGTTTCTTTCAGAGAAGATGCCGCGGTATGATGACAGGTATGGTGGCACGCGCCTATATGTTGGACATTTGTCATCCCGAACGCGATCTCGAGACTTGGAGGACGTCTTTAGCAGATATGGGAGGTAATTTTTTAACCATTCATTAGTTTTATGCAGTGGTTATAAACATTGTTAATCCAATTTGAGTAGTTGGAAATTGAGATTCCAAGAGAACAAAGATTGAACTTTTTAGTTGTTTATTTTTGGTAGTGGAATGAAATACGCCTGAGTAGAATAGAATGGATATAAAATAAAGGATTCATATGGTTGATCTCAACTTGTCCGGTATTAGGTGTTGATTGACTGATTGCTGTACCTAGTGATTATTATTGTGATCATTTTTCAGAAATGATGTTGCTTCTAGTAGTTCACAATCTTTGTTCTTGGATGTAAGGTGATCTTTGGGGGTAGAGATGAGACACACAAGTCATTACAGTGGCCTTTGTTTTTTTAATTTGTAGAAAATGTGTGAGAGCAACACCCCGTGTCTTGGTGTTTTTAACTCGAATAATGTTTATGAAGGTTTCTATGTTTTTGCCCAATCCGGAGGTTTGTGGTGGGAGGTTGCCCTTGATGGAATTGGTTCCCATTCTTGCGGAGTGTGGCGATTCTTTCTATAATGTTATTGCGTATTTTTTTGATGGAAATGGCACAATCCAAAAAGTGGTGTTTAGTTCATCTTTGAGGGGCGAAGTATCAACCCTTTGGTTCTTATGACTTGATGGCCTTACTCTTTCTGGAACCCATTTACGCAGAGTACGTGATGTGGATATGAAGCGTGACTATGCTTTTGTGGTACGCACTTCTTTTTCTTTCTTTTTTTCACTTCTTCATTAATGATATTTATTAGGGTTGTAGGGTGATCATCTAATCCTTGTTTCATATATTTGTGATTTAAGATTCTCTCTCTTCTTCATATACTGCTAAATCTAGGAGTTTAGTGATCCTCGAGATGCCGATGATGCAAGATACGGCCTAAATGGGCGAGATGTTGATGGAAGCCGCGTTATCGTGGAGTTCGCCAAAGGGGTGAGTAACAGTTTGGATTTGATGTGTTTGTAACTGCAATATGCATAGTATCTTTATGTTTTATTTGTGCAACTCTAGACGCGTGGACATGTGCATTTTGAATATCAATGCAAAAAAAAGAACAACTAAAAAGAATTTCAGGCTTTATGCCCAATGAGTGTTAAAATATGGTGGAGCTGGTTTGAACTCAATTATTTTGGAGATGATGCTTCGGTTCTCAATACAAGTATTTTACTCTACATTTGGCATGTCACAGAGGGGAGAAAGATGATCTTGGTTTATCACTTTTCCTTAAAGTAGTTAAGTTGCTTCAAGGATTTGTTTTCTTGGTATTTTCAGGAGTTATGCACACCTTAATCTATCTAATGTTCCAGATTGGTTAAACAAAAAATTGTCCTTTTTATGTTGTAATTTACTTGCATTGCAGGTGCCTCGTGGTCCAGGTGGATCTCGAGAGTTTGGTGGCAGAGGTCCTCCTCCAGGTACAGGTCGTTGCTTTAATTGTGGAATTGATGGACATTGGGCTCGAGATTGTAAAGCTGGGGACTGGAAGAACAAGTGTTACCGCTGTGGAGACCGAGGTCATATAGAAAGAAACTGTCAGAACAGCCCCAAGAAATTGAAGTATTTTCCTAGTTGCCACCTTATTTCACCCTGTGTATTTTTTGATGTTCTAGTATACTTTAATGGTTAAGGTTATTATTTGTTATTTGAATAACAGACGTGACCGAAGTTATTCCCGCTCACCATCTCCTCGGCGTGGAAGAAGCCGCAGCCGCAGTTACAGCAGAGGTCGTAGCTACAGGTCTCTCACTTTGCTCCTTTTTGGAATGTGCTCCATTTCACTTCATTGACAGCTTTAGTCTTATGTTTTGAGATTCTGAATTGGCATTGTCACTCATGGTTACAACGACATACCCAGTGAAACCCCACAAAGTGGGGTTGGGGGAGGCCTTAACATTGTCAATCATGGCTGAAAACTTGAAATAATACCATGGATAAGTAATTGCATTTGTCCTTTCATAGATGTATTATGTGGATAATATATGAAAGCTTGTATTGTTAAACCAAGAAAGTGTCATGTTATGGCATCACCTACTAAGTGCTAACAGATTCTGGTTATCTCAACTAACTGGCCTTTATGGTATTAAAACGTATTTGTACCCATCACTTTATCTATCTATACAAATAAACAAGATATTAACATATACTGTGTTTGATTTCTTTGCAGCCGATCCAGGTCTCCTGTGAAGAGGGACCGTAGCATTGAGCGTGAAGAGAAGAGATCAAGGAGTCCTCGCCAACATCGGCCATCACCACCTCCATCAAAGGGAAGGAAACACAGCCCTTCACCTGATGAAAGAAGTCCACAAGAGAGAGGTACGCCATCACCAAGGGATGATAGGGCAACCAATGGTTCTGACCGCAGCAGGAGCCCTAAAGATGATGCTAGAATGGATGAACGCGGAGATATTAGCCCTGTTGAAGAAAATGGCCGTAGTCGCAGCAATAGCCCCATCCATAGGGAGGACAGAAGCCCAGTGGAGGACGGCAGCCCAACAGGTGACTATGAAAATCATGGTTCTCCAAGGGGCAGTGAGTCACCCTAAAATGTGCATATGATACATTGTGGTAAGTTAATGTTTGACTCACAACT